ATATTTCAAACAGAGAATTCCATTTGTTTACGTTCGAAAGTCGCCGGTAACAAAAAAAGCAGATCATGAACAATTCCGCACAGCTAAAGATTTCCCTTAAGCCGAGGTCACACTGCTTTATACATCCTTCAAAATATACAGTTTGCATATAGATTCGAATTCGAGTCACCGCGGATCCGTGATTCGAATGCCGCATGGCAATAAGTACAAGGAGAAAACTTAGCACGCGGCGTTCGAACTAGAAATATTGATGCGACTCGTGTTGGCAGACCCTCTTTTGTATGATGTGTAAGCAGTGCGGCGCGGCATGAGTCAACACATGACTGATTATGCTACGTCGACGAGCAGGGTGAAGTCTTCGTTATATCATATATATTTCGTTCAGATGTTTTAGCTCTTATCGCAGCTAGTATCCCCGCTGCACTGGCATCTCAAAAACTTTCTGGTTTCTTTTTTTTTTGACACGAATTAAACACAAATTAAAAAAAGTAGGTACTGAGGAGCGCAAGGCACATTGCGAAATGGTGGCCACTCGTAGATGAGGTGGCAGACTTTTTTGTCCATCAGTGGTAGAAAAGAGGGAATGAAGATTTAGGTGGAAAGAGACTAAAAAGCAGGAAAAAGTCTGTACGTTGCTCCCTGGGCAGGGCGCAAAGATAATTGGAGTGGATTGATGCAGGCTAATTAGTGTGTCACTTGGCTCGCCGTCTAGAAGAGAGTCCCGGTGCATCCGAGGAGTCAAGCATTGCACGGAGACCAGCCGACCGCTTTCGCCCGAGTGCCTCTGGGGAACTACGAGCTCTTGCGTCGCGCCGACGTTGATTCCGAGCTGACTGAGGGTTTCTGACAGGGACTTTCCCCCGATCACCATACGTTGGGCACTCACTGAGAGTATGGCTAGGTCCTCCGGTTTGTTACATGAGTTTTAACATGAAGCGATTGATCATCCTAAGAGGTGCGGATAAATGGTGGTATTTGAAAGGTTCATCTTCAGTCTGTGTACCAATGTAATTGTGTGGCATGTTTGCTTAGACGACGGGATGTTATTCTGGCGTATCGTATCTGCATATGTCAGGTTCACGCGCGGAGCGGACACTGCGAGCTGATTGGCCGGCTCACAGAGTTTTATAAAAACTGGGTTTTAAGGCTTCCCGATCCCTGTTTCACGGGGTAATTCAAAGCCTTTTATTACCCCTGTTTTACGAGCACGTTAAAGACTTTCAGAACGACCGCATTTGAAGAATCGGGGAGTCAGCTCACGATGTCGGCTAAGCGTGCGGCCATCGAAACGCGCTGGTTCGTCGATTCTTTAAAGAACTTCATTCTGAGGGCCTTTCACGCGCCCGTAAAACAGGGGCGGCCGTTATGGAATCGACAAATCAGCGCGCTTCAATGGGAACACGCAAAGTCGAGATGGCGGAGTTCATTCGCAGATCCTATGAAGAGCTTTGGTGGAAGTCCTTGGAATCAGTTAGGCCAATTAAGTAATTTATAGCACTGCTGATTTTTTTTTGTGTGTGTATTGGACGTACGTTCCTATTTATTTTTTAGTCTTATTTTTAGTGACCCACCGACAGCTTAACGCCTCCTTAGTGGTGCACTTATGGAGTAGTTTTCTTAGCCCAATCAGCACCAAAACATCGTTATTGCTCCGTCGACAAAACTAAGCCAGCATTCAACGGATTCGACTGATCTTCCGTGGTAGGCTCTATTTATGGCATATTACTGACGCTTCAGCCTAAAAAGAGGTCTATAATAAAATGTACTCTCTCGGAAGCTTCACCACATATAATTCTCCGAAAAGCTAATTTTTTTCGTTCCCATTATTTTAACCGATGAAGCGAACACTACTGCTAGGTGATTCAAAATGTTATTTTTATTTTTTCTCAGGCTCTATCGTTTTTTTTTTCTTCTTTCTAACACTCTACCAAGTTTTAGCCTCATTTCAATAGAACGACAGCCTGCGAGTTCAGCAAAAGAATAATAGCCGTCTTGGCAGCCGTGAAAGAGAGAGGGAGGAGAACTAGAGCCAACACACTCAACGCCAGGAAGAATTGCGGCGGTCACGTGGCCTCGGGCTCCACAAAGGAACTGCACGTGCGAAGCGTTTCTCCAAACCGTCGCACCGGAGCTGAGTGTGTTGCTTGCCTCACTGTTTCTCTCTTCTCCAGATTCGGCGGCCGGTGCTGTTGCCGATCTCGCAAACTTTTCCTCTAGATAGGAGGCTGTGGCCGAGTGTTACGGACGCTTCAGGGAGCGCTCTTAGTTGTGCTTGCCCTCCAGACTAGCGTTCCTTTGAGTGCGCAGCATGCACTCCACTCGCGAGATGGAGTACGGGATGATCAAAATTATAAACCCTGCACTGCAATAAGGTCCAGACTACATTCCAGCCGCTCGCTCGCGCCTTGGTTCGCCACAGTTTATGCTACGCGTCTCCCATAGGATAACCTGGCCGAAAAGCAGGCGGCTATGGGGGAAGGGCGATCGCGTGCGGCAGAGACGCGTGCGTTCCCGTAACATCGGAAAGCGAAACCTCCGTCCATAAATCAATGTCCATCCCGATCGATGCTCCATACATAATTAACGCGGCGCCCTGACTGCCGCCTAATCGAACGGAACGCCGCGGGATAGGCGGCTTTCCTGGACTGCCAAATGATAAAAAAAGAAAGAACGGAAGCAGAAAAAGATCTAACGCGCCCAACTTGTCAGCCGCCTTGGAATTTGCTTGACTATTAGGGGTTGGTCTGGCGCTCCTCGGTGGGGGCGTGCAAGATGAGCGGGGGAGCACCGATTTTGCGGTTATATCGGGTGTGTGTGTGTGTGTGTGTGTCTATGCTATGGCGATTATAGGACCGAAGCGCTCAAGTTTCGCCGCCGACTACAGCGCCATTCCAGCCCCTGGCGGGACGCCGGAGTCCGAGTGGCTCGTTGTTTTTCACCTCGCTTCTCCGTCGTAGGCGGTCGGATATAACATTCATTGCGATAGAGACGATATAAAAGCCCGGCTAGCACGAATATTTCGTTGTTGATCGCAGCAACAATCTCCGATGTTGTTGTAGTCGATCCTTAAAATTCTACCGCTTCCCTGAAAAGCCGTGTGAGACTCGAACGGCGCCAAGCCTGGACCACGTCGGTGCTCCGACAAAAGTAAGTTTCTCGTTCGTTGGAAGATCAGTTTTGCTAAATACGCGGGAAAAACTAAATAGAATTGGTGTCAGAATAGAAACAGAATCACTACCGAACGCGGGAAAGTCAGTTGGCAGTGCCTGCGTGACGGAATATCTGATTTTCGTGCGCGTCTGTCGCTTCCCTCGAGGTGTTTGACGGGGCTTCGGTCGCGATGTTGGATCCCTTTGGCACGAATACTTCAACTACAATCACTGGCAGGGTGAGAACGGCAGGGAGAAGCTTCAGTTCCTCCAGCACTAGCTTCGAACCGTCGACAGGGTTTCTATCTCGCGACCGTCGAGCGTTCACGTGCAGCCACATCGCAACGAAGGGCAACGAAGACGTGCTGGAGCTCGGCCGTTCACAAGAGACGCCCTGCCTGCCGTTCTGACTTTGTCAGCACACTTCTAGCTAGGGGAGGGGCTTTTGGGGGTTGCGATTGCAGCTGTCTTCTGCCGTGTGTGTTTCTTAATCGCTGTTCCCGTTTTTTTAGCTGTTTATAGCCATCATGTACGACGCTATAATATACACATGCATCCCCCCCCTCCCAAACAACACACACAAGGAATGCACTTCCAAACAGCATCAACCAGCCAGCCCCCCCCCCCCTTCCTTTTTAAAATAAAAAGAAAGCCTGATTATGTTTTTACTTGCTAGGGACAATAACAGTTTCTATTATTTCGTGTCGATTTTCTGCTGATCACACCAGAGATCTTATATTATTGACTTATTTTTCAGTGGGGGCGGTTCAGTTTTGATTCCGCCAACGTCAGCGAGGATCTGCAGCGTGCACTTCGTGAACACCTGCAAGGACAACGCTGAGGCTCATCCTGCAACAAGTCACTAGACGAGATGCCAGCTGAGGTGTTTGATAAAGACTAATTGCAGGAAACCTACCAACCCTGTAATTTCTCGTGAAAGATTCTTAGTTAATTTAAAGTAATTTTCACTCCCTCGCTCGAAGATACAGGTGACATTTCCTCATCTATGTTGCATTCTCTATGTGTGCCCGATTCTTAGCCAGTTAAAAGTATTGTTAGTTCATTGGCAACTTCTGTAGTCTCTTTCGTCTTCGAGTTGCACGTTTTGGTTTAGTCTGTACCCCAAGATTCAATATAGCTTGGCTAAAGATGGATAAGCTTAGGTGACGACTGCTTTCTCACGAACTGGGAGACATCTTTCGTGAGATCTGGAATATCTTGAACAGCTGATCTGCCGTGCAAGATCTCTGAAATAGTCGGGGTTCTCGGCCCTACAATGTCTTGGACAGTCCTTGCTTCTCGAGATGTGTACATCATCTGCAAGTGTCCTGCCAGCCATACTTCGAGTCTGCGCCAATGTCACCGTGTTAAGAGCACGAGAAGAATTCTTATATTGTCACAAGGTTGTGTGTTTACCTACTCGTGGTTGTGACAAAACTCAATAAAAATCGTTTTCACTGTCAACAAAACATTTTTGAAAGCGATGCATTATGCTGCTGTACCATATTTTCCAGACTATAGTCCACAGGGCAAATTTGTGGTAAAAAATAGATTTTCCTTACATTGTACACATACAGTGCATCGTCTGCACTTGGTGCTTAGTTGTCACGAATATCCTCTCATAGACAGCACACCTTGAGAAATGTCTGCTTTCTTAGTGCAAAAAGAAGCTGGTATTATACATAAATTATCATTAACATACCCTTTCATTCACAAAATCCGTCTCGTCATAATCAACAATATTGAAAAACAAAAATCCCGCATAGTCCGCACAGCCTAAAATTTTCATTTTTAAAAGCATAGCCCGGAAAATAAGGTACATTCCTGGAAACGCGTGAAAACATGTCAACATGCCACGAAAGAAACTTTATTCAGTGAAGCAGCAATGAAACACTGACAGGCATGGATTATGTTTCTAGAAAATAAAAGTTGTTCTACTGATGACAACCTATCATGTGTCACTGGTGTTTTCTTTGCTACACAACATTTTCCTCCAAAAATGTCCCACACAGTAAAGTATGAATCAAGCCCCCAGCCAATATCTGGAAATCTTGCATGTGAACTGGACAACTTGAACCTGAAAGAGAAATGAAGTTTTTTTTTTTAATAAATCCATCCAACTGAACATTGTCATGAAAATTTGATTAAAATTATGTGCAGTCATATGCATAGCAGACATTTATGCTGGAGATTTAGTCTAGGCTAGCCTCTTTTCGTTTTCAACTGTTTTGCCCCTCTTTCTGGCAGAATCTCGCGTCACATTATTCTTCAAACTCGCAGAAAAAGTACCATTAATCAGGAGCAGGTCCCCAGTAACTGCAACCTACTGCCTCAGTGAAGTGGGACAAAAAAACCTGGTAATAAATCTACGAGGCCTTTGTTCAGGTCGTGCCCTGGCGTTTTAGTTCCCTACTGCTGAGGCAGGCTGATGAGGACGCGTGTTCAACAATACTAATAAAATTACGAGCGTCGGCACAATGCTCGCACCGGTCCGCGACTCCAGTCCAGCGAGGACCTGCAGTCTCAACTGTACGCGGGGGACTTCTCTCTTCCCGGAATTATCACCCTATGCCCGCACGATCCCCGACACGTTAATATTTCTTCGACGTGGGCGAGCCCGAAAAGCTATCCCACTCGTAGCCTCTAGTGCGAGAACGTAGTCTGCCGGTGGTTCAACGACCGAAAAATAGTATCCCGACGTCGTCTAACAGGACTCACGAGAACAGTGGTTCATTGTGATCAGTAATCTTTAAGGCACAATGTTATTACAGCGCAAAATTTAAACAAGTGCCGCTCACCTGTAAAGTTATCTCGTAGACGCCGCACGGCCGGCACGGCCGTACTTGCGAGGCGGACCCGACTCGTTGGCGGGGAAATCAACCGCTTTCTCGGTGGAAGATGCGTGTTATTGAAGCTTTTCTATCGTTTCTTGACTCACGATGAGAAATATTTCTCGCACGCTTTCTATCCTTCTCTAAATCTTCACCGTATGCTCGAAATACCTGCGACGCCAATGCAACGCTATGAGCACGACCGGCGCGACACGACCATGTGTTGTACTGCGGTGGCGCTACCATCGCAATTTCGAAGCGCCCCCTGGTTGGGCGAATCGATTCTATGGGCGACGCGGGGGGAGTGTCGGACCGTACCTCGTTATCCATGGTGTCGAAGGAGGTTATTATTCTTTTTTCTGCGCTTTGTGTGTCGATCTACGCAAAAGCGCCACCAGGCTATTGTTATTTCTTATTTTGGTGGTCACGACGTTTGTATGGTTTCGTATTACCGAAAGAAAAGATCGGTGATTCAATACCGCCTTGGGATTTCCGGCCAGCACATAAAAGATGTCGTGTTTCTTATTTTTAAGGTTTTTTTTTATGCGTGGAAGGTATTCCGTTGATAAAATCGAAAAAAAAAAGATTACGATGGTGGTTGCTTTTCGTTCGCGGAGTGTGACGGTGACAGCGGCTTGTGAGATGACATTGTCGGAGAAGCCAAGTTGATCCGCGTAGATGTAATGTCCTGGGAGGCTCTAATTCAGACAAGTTTTTCCTAGAGAGAGCGTTAATGGGAAGAAAGAGTGACAGCTTCTGAAAAGTATAGTCGTTCTTATCAACCAGAGTTTCTTTTATTTATTTTTCTTTTTAATGGGAAGTTAGGTTAGGAAGAAAGGCCATGCAGACAAACAACTAAAACACCTCACCATACAAACATCACAAATTGAGTTCAGAAATAAAATTTAGTTATATATAGAGAATGAATAGACACGACAAAGGGAAAAACAATTATTACCTTGAGGAAACACAAATGATTCCGTGAAGTGCCAGTACTCTAATACAATTGAGCTACGAGCAAAAAAACTCTAGACTCTGAAGAAAATTGAAAACATCTTGTAGTTGACATGCTTCTCGATTGTGACATGCATTAGTCCGCCAGAATATTTCTCAAAACATTTAAGACCGGTATATATTCCAGACCTGAGGGTTCAAAATGCAGAAATATAAACAAACGACACCTTTCACACCGTTCTTTTTTTCCTTACACCCCGGGTGAGTCTATAAAACTTATCCGACTCTGGCTAGCTAGTCCGGTGGGTGTTGTAGTAAGTTATCTGGAAGCAGAAAGAGCACAATCTCGCACAAGCTCTCACGTGCACTCCTCACCGTACAGATACATGACCAAACGACTTTTTTACAGATGCAGCACTACATCGTTTTTACGTCCTGTATAGTGGTGCACGTAGAACAAAAATGTATATTCGACAATATGCACTCTGGTCGTCTTATTCAGTTCTCTCGCCTGGGCTTCTGAGTTTTGCCATTAGTTGGCGTCGCTAACTACAATACACTTATGTGCTTTGTTTAATTTCTTTATAACCAAGTTACACGCAAGGTTCGGTAATATATCACTCACGAATATCCACCGGAATTTGGACACTCCATATCGACTCCAGTGCTTCAATAAACGCCGGTAAAACAGTCAGGCTCCGGAGTTTTCGCTCTAATAGTGCACTGCGCCACTCTGTTACCGCAAACACACTTCTTCGGCATTTTACTTCGAACGGGTCCTGGCGGTCATCAAAATTGATCACTTAGATTAGCGAACCCCGGACAAAAGCTCATTGGACAGAAGCTCACCGGACAGAAGCTCACCGGACAAAAGCTCACCGGACAAAAGCTGACCCATTTTTTCAAAAACCCGGACAAAAGCTCACCAAGAGAAAATTTCATGTTGGTCTTAAGACAAGTGCAGACAACTTATAGGTGCATGGCTGTGACACCAAAATGCAACGATAAATTTAATCTAACAGGCGCATGGTTTGTTGATTGGAGCAGAAACAAGTTAATTTATCAATTGATTAGAAGCGAATGCATTCCCCTTCTAGCTCCAACAGTCTTGGTAGATCTCGGTGTACCGGGAACCCCAGGCAAATATTTTTAAGACGATTCTACAGGCGCAGAGTGGTTTTTCGTACCCGCTTCACTGGGGGGCTCACCTCTCCGGGCTTGTGCCAATGCCGTGGCAACGAGCGCCCGATTTTACTGTAGGCATTCAATCACCCTCCAGACGCTTGAATGAACGCGGCCGACAAGCTTTTGAAACCTGGTATTCCATCCTTCGCAGGTGTTGTTCGTCCGGTCTTTATCTTGAAGAGTGGCGTCGTACATAATCCACTGTTCCGGGGGAAACTCCGGTCGTCGTCGGCGCACAGTCAGGCAACGCCGTCCACGTACAGTTTGTTTTCATACCGCTGCCGTTCAGGCTCGGGTAGCGAGCTCGGGGGATAGCACACGACATATGTTGGCGGGAAATACAAATGACAAGTAAAGCTAGAAACGCCTCTACATTGTCAACATCGACCACGCGCCACACAACGCAATGGCGAAAACACGGAGAGCTTGGCCGCTTCTGCCCACATAGCTTCTGTGCATGCGCGGCCTTCCGGCCCTCTTGGTAAACAGAGCCGCGCCGCGTGTCGGTCTATATGGGAGACGCACGCGATGACTTTCAATTTTGATTCGGCTCGCTGGAGCAGACCGCGAGATGATTTGGGATTGGGTGAAAGCTTTTGGTTACGTATACACAGCAGCTTACGCGTCACCTCTTAATATCTTTTTTCATTATTAAAGGTCTAATTATTAAATAAATATAGGAGGAAACTCAAGACTGCTTATTTATTTATTTACCCAAAGGATCCTTTCTGAAAATGCACAAGGGGAATTCATATTAAAATCGCCAGTCAATAAAATAGGACAGTTTGGATATCTTGTTTGTACCCGTTCAAGTCTAGCGTTTAGGTTTTCAATGAAGTCGGGCGAAGAGTTCGGCGGAAGTGAGGCGTCTCGCGGGAGAAATGTCTTCGAGTAATGTTTCTACACGTACTAAAGTTCAGGATGAAGTATTGGACGACGTCGAGAACGACGTCCTAGATATCGACTTCAATTACTACGTGACGACCTCTAGGACGACCTCTAAGACGACGTCGAGGACGGCGCCGAGGGCAATCTCTCGAATGACCTCAAGGACGACGTCTAGGATGACCTCAAGGACGACGTCGAAGATGTAATCCTAAAGACGACTTCAAGAATGAGGTCTAGGACGACTTCTAGGATGACCCGAAGGACACCGTGTAGGACGACATCGAGAACGACGCCTAGAGGAGAACACTTAAGCAGGCTCTAGGGTATTTGCGTAGGCGGCTACGTTTGCCTGCTGAAGCCACCGTAGATGTAGACGCTGCTGTCAATGTCGAGGCCGTAGATGTAGGCGCGGTCGCCTCACAGTCCGTCGTACGAAGCGCACAACGAGAACAGATGAAGTCTGAAACGCACCGCTTGCACACGGCGCTCCGTCGGTAACGTCATGCTCCTACACTTGAGCGAGAGCGTGAACGTGAGTGGCGCGAGCTTAATGGAGTATTTTTATGGCCATCTTCCGGGCACAACGACGCCGTTTTTTCGCGTAATTGAACAAGTAAGGTCGTCCTAGAGGTCTAGGACGACCTCAAGGACGACGCCGAGGACGGCGTCGTCCTTGAGCATACGATTGAGCGGCGCGTGCCACTCGATCTTATTTTATAGCCATATACGCCGCTTTTTCGCTTAAATGGGACAAGTAAGACCGTCGCCTTAAAATATCTGCCTCCCTATTTTCTTGCCTACCTCTACAACACGTCACATTCTGAAGCCTCTACGGCATTTTGTTTTATTGCCTCCGCTATGCACACAAAGAAATAAATATGAAAGCTCACGTCTGCCTTCCGTCTAGACTCGACCGGATTCAGTACCAAACATGCGAAATCACGTGACCAGGACGTAAAGCATGCCTTTCTACCGGAAACGGAAGTTCTACCAGCCGAGCGAGGAAGCCGCGTCAGTCAAGCGTCGCGTTGCGTCGAAACGACGTTTTTGGCGTCGACTTTTCGATTCAAGGACGTCAAAGTGGCGTCAACTACTGAGGTTTCCGCGAACGCCGTTTGCTTCGTACGACTCGTTGGCCCGCGACGCTCGTGCGTTCAACGCCTTGGTTATAGACACGTCACAGCTGAGGGAAGTGCAGCTTAAAATGTTTCGGTATAGTGAAAGTATGGGCCTTGTTTCGCGCTCCGGGACGCCCACACGACGAAACAAAAAAACTGGCCCGACGAAAGCTGTACCAGTTCGGCGCCGGAACCGGCCGGGGAGTAGCGATTCGTCAGTACAAAATGGTACGTTAACAATTCGGCTGCGAACACAAAACGCTAAAAACGAAGTAATATAAATTCCTAATAATTCGTTTTTTTTTGTTTTTTTGTAGGTGCACCTGCAAACGGTGCACCGTGATGGTCGCCGTCCGGGAGAGTGTTGGTTGTCGGGAGTTCTCTGCCGCCGTCGTACTTCAAAACGACGGGTGCATTACAGAGAATGCATATTTTCGTGTTTTTTGCCTGGAGTCCGTCGTCGTTGTTTTTGGCTGAGCTCGGGGAGAAAACAGTCATTGAGGCTGCGGCTTATACAACCAGAAATTTAACTCGGTTATTCTCGACAATCGACAATCGACAAACTCGACAATTTTATCGGCGAGGAGCAGAATTCGAGTGGCACATTATACTCCTATCCAATACGGAAGCTAAATTCAACTGACGTGTTCGGAAAAAAAAAAAGAGTGAAGGAGAACTCCTTCACTAACTCTTACATACTCAATGTTGCGGTTACTTTGCTAGGTGGCGCAAGCTGCCGCCAAAGAGAGAAGGTTTATCCACGAGTGATTTATTAACCTACCCATTCATACATTCAGCTTTGTTGCGAGCGTTCGAGGAAGAGAGTGTAAGCTATAGTTCGCTTTTATTTGCCAAACTTTTATGCCAAAAATTAGGATTTAGCCTTCCTAATCTCGCGTGCCAGTATTTATTTGATCCCATAAACGATATACAGGCAGTAAAGTGTTGTCTAAAATCGTTTCCTGGTCTCTTTAAAAATAGGGTATCTCGAATGCGGGCACGC